TTAAAACTGGAGAGCATTCATTGAGATAGGACTTTGAGTTCGGGAAGACAGTGAAGAATGAATATAGTTTTGGATATGGCCTCTGGACACCTCAAACTGACCATGTCCAACAAGTCCTTAGGACCGGAGTAAGAGCTGACCTAGAGATACAAGTTTAGAATTTATTAATTTGTAAACAGTAAATAATGCCTTAAGACTAAGAGGAATTTACTCAAGGAGAGTGAGTCACATGAAAAAGAAAGGAATCCAAAAATACAAGTGAAAAATAACACGAGGGAAAGGAGGAAAATTGAGGGAGTCTGGTATCTCTGAATCAGTGTGTACATGAACTTGTATTTTAAAGCTGGTTTGGAATAAACTAGTCATTCCTTTGAGAGATCTGTTAACAAAGCTAAGAGCTGCTAGGGCTTAAGGCAACAGACGAAGGAGTCAAAACCCTCCCTCCACTGGGACTTCTTGCAAACCACCACCTCAGGATCTTCATCTTTGCCTTCACTGAGTTGTGGAAGCCTGATCAGTGATAAACTGAAAGTTTCATAAAGTGTAAAATATTATAAAAGCACTCCTGATTTATTGTCATTACAACAGTGTGAAAATTCCATCCAGGAGCGTAAATTTCTGAAGACGCGACCTTCTACCTTCTACCTTTCTATCAGGTATTGTGCTATGTATTTAGTAGGTATTTGAAAAATGTTTACCGAATATTTGGCAGTAACATGAGAATGTACGCATGGGGGGAAGGAGCACAGAGCAAAAGGCATATCCAACTTCCTAAAAGGATTTAGAACTGAAATCATCAAACTAACCCTCCCACAACTGTGGCCAATGACAAAAAAATGGGGGGGGGGGATACTCATAGTCCCAACTTCTCTCCCAATGTGTAAATTGTTCCTCTGAATGCTTTAGAAACATGGAGAAGATATTTACAGAAAAAGCTGTGAACTGTAGAAAAGGAAAACAGCCAACAGCAACTTTATAGAACTGTGTTCAACTATCGCTGGCCATTAAGGAAGAGCTCCCTAACTTCTCAAGTTGGAACCTGCAACATGTAAATCAGGCCTTTGTGAGATGAACTAAAATAGTGTCCCCTCAGGGTGTGCAAATACCACAGTGAAGTCACCAGAATGAACCATTCCCTGACACAGTCGGAACCTACCTTGCAGAGACTGTCCTGTGGAAAAAAGATTGCTGTTTGTTTCATTTTACATATACACTGAAAGGAAGAAGCAGAATAAAATGCAATATCCTCGTGTATCAATTATCTTGATTTAGACACACAAAAAGGATAGATGTGGCTAAAAAGAAACATTTAATCACTGTTTGCTCCTAAAGCATATAGAGAAGCATTGGAAACAAATCTGGTCTTGGCGTAAATTTTAGGAGTTCCATAAACTTTGATTGAGTTGGTTTATAAGCACTTTCTTCCTTAATCTAATTGTTTTCAGAAAGGGGGAGCGCTACCTTCCTCTAAGATCCAGACCAAGCCTGCCAAGTTTCCATCCGCAATAACTATCAAGTTAATTAAAAAGGCTGTTTCATAAAATGCAAATCCTCAGCTACAATCTTACTCTCAACTATCCTGCTGATACTAATAAAAGTTATTATGACTTATTCTTTAACACAAAAGCCAAACTTTTAAACAGCCGTTGAATAATCCATACAGAAGTTAGGAAAGAAGATCCAGAAGTTGAGTGCAAAATAAGACTTTTTTTTAGAACAGGGTGCCTGGCTGAGATTTCTCTCCCCAACAGGCAGAAAATGCAATTCCTGTTCCCATAGCAACCTGAACTGATTCTATCTGAGGATACATTGCACCCTGGATTACTGTATATGGTGCTTAAGACATGGCTGCTCTCAGAATCAACGCTGACTTTCCTGGCTTCTGTGCAAGCGATGATAATGGTATAATGCTCTAATTTGTCCTTGCCATCAGTTAAAATCTGCCTTACCAACCATGCCCCCCAAAAGGGAGCAGTTAAAACGGTAACATAATTTTACATATACATGTGTGTGCGTGAAAAGTTTCTGGAAGGCTGCATGAGAAATTGTGAATGGTGCTCTCTTCCAACCTAGCAACTGAAGAGGAAGAGATTCCCCTAGTCATTATACCCAACTGTTTTAATTCGCCATGTCGTGTTTTATTTCTACAGTAAAAAAAAAAAAAAATGACCTACAGTTAATGCCAAAACATGTATGTTTCTTGTAACGACCTAAGTGCATTGCTTATTTTAAAGTTTACTGCATTTAAAGTTCAACATCAAAAGGGAGGGGAGAAAAGTGTTGGCTAGCCCGGCTTCTTTCACACTGCTCACTTTCACAGGCTCTAAGGGCACAATATGCATCACTTGCTTAAGGGTATGTGAAATTTGAACTGGATGGGAGATTTAATAGATGCACAAACAGTCATGGTACTCGAATTCATGGGAAACAGCAAGCTAGAGCCCATAGAGTAACTGAAGTTAAGCACTGAATACGCTGATATCAAAACACACAATGATACATAAAGCCCTGCCTATACTTTATAGATCATAACCTGCATGTATACATACATCCCTGTCATTAAAAAAGAAGCAGGGGAAACGTTGGGGGCAGGGCGGGGCGGGGGGAGGAGATACTGCGAGAGGGAGAGAGAGATTGAGACATCGCCCCCACAACACACAAGTCTCCCTCCCCTTTTCCACCTTCTCCACCACATACAACTTCCTCTGGGACATCATTTCGGATCCAAGAAAAAGTACAATAAGTTCTAGTCAGGTTTTTCGAAATTGTCTGTCTTAAAAGTCTCAAGTAAATGTTCTCACAGTTAATCACAATACTCATATGGAAACGATTTTAAATAACTTTTTTTAAACCCATAGTTTTATGAACTTCATTTACCACGAATATTACCAAAAACTGAAGAAGACTTTTTCAACAAAAACAAGTCCAAGCATATAACATTTTTTAGAGCACAAAGTCGTGTAAGAGTCCTGACTAGATGGCCTCTTGAGATTTCTTTCAACCTTTAATCACCATGATCCATAATTAATATATCTGCTCCCCACCAGTAACAACCTAACTTGACTGTTACTGTCTTATCTACCACATTACCTTTACCTTTGTAACACAGAAATAATCTGAGTGATCTACCTACTTCTGCAATCACATAAAGTAACCTTTTGCTACACAGTGCCCACAGCAGAAAACTCAGAATGCTGAGATTGACAGCGTGACCTTTACCTCAGTCACAGATTCTTATTCAGAAATTTTCAGTTGAATCCCAGGCACTTTGAGGCAGTGAGCAAATGCTTCCACTTTGAAATTTTTAGTATTTGAAAACAGACAAAACTTTGTGGGCATTCCAAATTCAACACAGAAACTTTAATAAATTTCCACAAAAATAACTGGATATAAATTTAAAAAATAATTTTGACCAAGTTTAAAAATATAACACCTAAGAGTATTTAAAGAGTGTCTAAAGAGTTAAAGAGTATTCCCATGAAGACTTAGAAGACCCCAGGTCTCTTGCTGTGTCTTAGAAAGGCACCTGTTCCAACACACTGCTGGTTCTATGCATTTCCAATACCCTTAAAACACTGAAGTACAGTTCACTTCTTCCATCTCTGAAAAACAGGTGCCTCAGAGTTTCACTGTCTGAACTTATTTTCCAAAAGTTCACTTTTCTAATAACTTGTCTAGAAATAAATGGTATTCCAAAGGTGCTAAACACTGCTTTTCTACAACTTACTCCACACACAGTAATTTAACTACTTTTCAAAGTACTTTGGGCAAGTTATAGTCCTTCTCTGGAATCCTGATACTTACATAAAGTTTAATGTACCAGAGAGCAGTGGAAAGAAAAAATGCAAAACCATGACCAAAAGAACTATTTGTCTATAAAGCATTCCTCTCAAAGACCCTCAAATAATATTTGTCTTACAGAATGATCTGGCTTTGAAGAACGGCTTGGGCCCTATGTTCTCTCTGGAAGTTCATTACTGTCAGCTACCAGGGAAATCAATTCTTTCAATGCAATGGGGACTGCAGTTCTACAAATCAGATGCCAGTTTATCATGCATATTTTAACTCTGTTAAACACAATAATGAATTATTCTGCTTGTTTATATATTTCAATGATGAAAAAAAACCTGCTTAGTCTAAACATGATTTTTGATACCTTAGGATAAACATGTCCATCCTCATCCACCACCCAGCAACAAAGTTCTCTATACATCCTTTTCCTGATTTCTAAAAGGTCATTCATACATGTTTCTACACTGGCTTTGAATCAAAGGAAAAGGAAAGACAGGAGAGCCTTTTCACTCAGGACCAAAGTGCAGCCAGAAATTAAAGTGGATGCACACTTTCTTTTGTTTTCTCTGTTCCAGGAGTAGCGGTGAAATAACTTTGTGGCCCTTCATTAACGCTGAACAACTCAAAAGAACAATAACTTTAAAAGTGAATCTCTGTTTTAATTACACATAGGCCACACCGGTAGTAAAAGCATTGGCTTCCCTCAAAGTCCCTTCACTAGAGACCCTCTGCTCTCTGGCTTATTCAATAGAGCAAACAGCAATCACGCTCAATCCTGGAGAGAGGGGGGCATTTAAACAAGATCAAAGTGCTGAAGGTAGATCATTCTATCTCTGATCCAAGAACGCTCCGTGGTGGCCCTGCGAGGAGGGAGAAAAGCGAGAACAGGGGTTTCTGATTAACACTTCCCCCAAAAAGGGACAAAAAACAGCCGAAAGGGCGAATCATCAAGGGAGTGAAAATCTGGTTAAGTTAGAAAGAACGGAAAAGCAAACAGATGCTAGTGCGAGGTATCCTCGCCCTCGCGGAATGTGAAGTGCCAGATCTAGTTTAGAAGTCGGAGAAGGGAGGATCTGTGTGGCCCCTGCAGGGGAGCAGAGAGCCAGCACACGGCTGTTCGGGCCCCGCAGGCTGGGCCAGGACGTGAAGGCGGCCAGGGAGCTGGGCAGCCGGCGAGCAGTAGCAGGAACAGGGCTGTCACCGCTTACCCAGGTGCAGCGTGAGGTTGATGGAGTTGGGGTACTGCACCCCGGCCAGCATGGTCTGGCTCTGCCACCAGGTGGTGTCGGCCTGGTTGTTGTAGTCGGTCAAGAAGGCTGCCCCGTGCTGCAGGTGGGACTGCCCGGCGTCGCACAGGTGACAGGACTTGGTGACCCCGGTCACCCCGGTCTGCACACAGTACTCCTCGGGCGGAGTCCCGCACGTGTTGGTGGCCACCACGGTCACGTTGAAGGCAGCGTTGACGAACTCGGGCATGCAGCGCTGCGATCGCCCGCCCTCGTCCGTGCACTCGTCCATGGCTGCCCGGGCGCAGCCGGCCGCAGCGGCCGCCAGCACCGCCAACACCGGCCAGAGCCGCCCCCAGGGCCGCAGCGCTGGCGCGGCCCGCTCGCTGCCCTTCATCCCGCCGCCCGCGCGCTGGGCCACGCCGAAGGCAAGGGCGCGGGCGCGTTCCTCCCGCCCGGCGGTGTCCCGGGGAGGCCGCTCCGCGGGCTGAGCCTCGGGGCCCAGGGGCCGGACTCTCGGGGTGGGTGGTGGCGGCGGCTCGGACTGGAGAGACGGGCCAGTGGGCGCCGCTGGCGAGGACCGCACGGCTCGCGGACCACTGCCCGGCTCGCCGCCTCCGCGCCTCCCTCACCCACCCGGGACACAGCCCGCACTCGGCGCCGACCCCCGACTTCCGAGCGCGGGCCCGAGAGCGCGCCCCCGGGGAGGAAGGAGCAGGGGGTGGGGTCGGCAGGGTGGGGTGGGGTCTGGCGGAGGAGAAAGCCCAACCCCGGCCTCCTCTCAACAGCTCCCGCGGGCCCCGTAGCTGGTCCCCCGCCCTCCTCGTGCCTCGGACTGCGCGTCCGCCCAGGCAACTCGCGGCGGCGGCGGGGGCGGCGGCATCTCGCGCTCCGGCCCGCGGCGCGGGATCGGCGGGGGAGGGGCCTTGGAGGGGCGCGAGGGGTGGGCGGGGAGCGAGGGAAGGGGAGGAGGGAAGGGGAGGGAGAGCGAGGAATGGGAGGGGGAAGGGGAGGCGGAGAGAGAGCGGGGGAGGGGGGAGGAGGGGAAAGGAGGGGCGGCGGGGCGGTGCATGCCGGGACGGAAGGGGAGGTCGAGGAGAGCCATCGCCCTGCGGGAGTTGGACGTCAGGGTCGGCTGACTCTGCGTCCCCGGAGAGCCCGGTTGGGGGAAGGGGTAATGGAGGGAGCCTTAAAGGGGGGACGCCGGGTCGGTGAGGTAACTTGGAATCCGCCTTTGGGCCCCGCGCCAACTCGGGCCGCGGCGGCGCAGATCTCCGCCGCACCAGGTGTCGGTCGTGGCGTCCAGCCGGCCGCGCCCCGGGACCGGGACTCGAGGGACCGGACGGTGGGAGCTGCCCGCCGGCCGCCGCGGGAATGCCCCCTGCTGCGCGGGGCGGGGCTCCAGCCTTTTCCAAGGAGAGGTCCCGGGGTGTCCAGGGGACCCACAAGATCCCTGGAGAATTAAGGGCCTTGGTCTTAGCATCAAAATGAATTTTCTGAAGCCATTTCCTGCCTCTAAATTAAAAGTGTAGCCGTTGTTTCACAGGGGCCGAGAAGGAAGTGAAAGGGCTGGGAATGGAATGACATTTTTCCCTTGGGTAGGCAGACCCACTGCGAAATTCTTCCACTGTGTTGTTTATGTTCCCCATCTTGCCTTTAAAAGACTCGAAATTATCTGGATTTGACATCCTCCTTTTCGGGCCTGCTGAGTCACGGAATATTCTCCGTGCCAGGATGACTCAGTTCAGAGAACCTGAGCCAGAAGATCATGAGTTTTAGTCCCAGATCAGAACCTGGGCACTTACCCAGTGCTGATAGGACAGGCAGGGACCGGGAAAGGAGGGTGCTGTACAAGTGGACCACCCAGGGTCGGTGGTCTTGACACATTCGGAATCCCCAGGCAAAGTGCTTGCAACCGCTGGATACTCAGGAGACAGATACTTTTTTAACTTTTCCAGATCTTAATAGTAAAGTGAGAATGATAAATGTATTCCCCCGCCCTGCGGGAGAAAACCCCACCCCGCAAAAAGAAACAAACCCTATACCTGGTTTTGGATTCAGTAGTTCCGTTAAGATAGTGGGGATCTGAAATAATGAAGTAAATGTTGGCTCGCTGTGGCTGGGGTCAGTGTTAACTCCAGAAGGACTTCAAGGCTAATGGTCTGGTTGTCAGGGGTGGGGTCTTGCCAGGATGGTGAGTTTGCTTAGCAGGCACGTGGATCACTTGTGTCATTCGTTTATTTGATGAAATGGGTGAAGTTGATGCATGACTAAACGTCTCTCAACTCATCCTTTGGCACCTCCACGTTGGAAGAAGAAAGTTGTGGGACTTTATATTAATTCTTTCGTATTTGAGTTGAAGCAAAATAAATACATTCATTTATACCTAGAGAGGATGATATTTTCTCTCGGTCTTTCATTGTACTTGAGAACAAAGCATGTAGGACAAAAATAAGAATGTTAGTTGTCAATAAAACTACAGGTATTTTTAATAAACGTTTAAGTACATACATTAATGCATGTGCCCTTAAAATTTTCAATATTTTATTAGGTATTGGCAAATCAAATGGGGGGTTCCTTTTGTTTTCTACCAAAGGCAGAACAGATAAAGGTAAGGAAACACCAGAGTTTGCAAAATCAAAATAAATGTTTGCTGTCACTGCTCCCTTTTGGATTCTAATGTCCAAGGGTAACTTTAAACTGTTACTTCTGCTGCATAATTTCATTACCAGAACCTCATCTGATATTTGTAAAGCACCTAAAGAGACTGAATTAATTTCTAAATTCTATTATTTATCGGCATGTGACAAGGAAATACCTATTTCGGAGACAGGTGAGATGTAACTAGGCCTAGGCCATGTGCTTGATTAAAAAAAATTAAAACAGAACAAAATTTTCTCCATCGTTTGAATCCTGAATCAAACAAAACAAAGGTTAAAACAAAAATTTTTAAAGCGATTTGGAAAACTTAAATGCTAATTAGATATTTTGTGGCATCAAATTAAGTATTTTAGGTACCTGGAGATTTTACTGTTTACTAAATAGACTTGGTATTTTTTAAATAAAAAGTGAAAATGTATGAGATTTTCTTTTAGTTCAGGTTACCCTGTTGGGATTTTTTTCTGGGGGAGAAGGGAGAGACAAAGGGGGGAGAGAGAGAGTCCTAAGCAGGCTCCAGGTCCATAAGGGAGTGCATCCCAGGACTGAATCTCACAACCCCAAGATCATGACCTGAGCAGAAATTAAGAGCTTAACTGACTGAGCCACCCAGGCACCCCAAGTTAACCTTTTTTTTTTTTTTCTTAATTCTGTGGCCCTTTAATAATACTTTTTTTTTTTTAAGATTTTATTTATTCATTTGACAGAGAGAGCCACAGCAAGAGAGGGAACAGAAGCAGGGGGAGTGGGAGAGGGAGAAGCAGGCTTCCTGCCGAGCAGGGAGCCTGATGCGGGGCTGATCCCAGGAGTCTGGGATCATGACCTGAGCCTAATGCAGATGCTTAACAACTGAGGCACCCAGGAGCCCCTAATAATACATGTTCTTAACTGCTTACAAAGTGCATTATCTAGTAAACAGATATGGTGTTTAGAAGAAAAACGTGAAGGTGTGGGAGAAATGGTTTCAGATCCCTTAAAAAAATGCTTTTAGTGCTCAACCACCAGGACAGCAAGAAAGGTAGAATGAGAGGATGTAGTTGTTTATTATACAGACAAAAGAGTTCCAAACTTTTTAAAAAATCCCACTTAGAACTCCAGAGAAAAGAAAATTTCTCCCGGGGCGCCTGGGTGGCTCAGTGGGTTAAGCCTCTCCCTTTGGCTCAGGTCATGATCTCAGGGTTCTGGGATCGAGCCCCGCATCGGGCTCTCCGCTCAGCAGGGAGCCTGCTCCCCCCTACTGCCTGTCTCTCTGCCTGCTTGTGATCTCTCTCTCTGTCAAATAAATAAAATCTTTAAAAAAAAAAAAAAAAAGAAAGAAAAAAGAAAATTTCTCCCTATCAGGATCTATCTAAATAATTTCAAGGAAGGATGCTGATTTTCCTAGCTTGGGTCACCTGCAAATCCCTGGGCATACCCACCCCTAACCAGTTGAATAGAGTAACATTAAAGCAGCCCACCCAAAAGCCAGGGAGTTTGGGAAAAGCAGTTCTTCAAGGAAATTTCTCGATTGCTGTTGCCAGAAGGGGGCAGGTTACAAGGTAGGAAAATACAACAGATGTCTACTACATCCAAATTGAGAATGTTTGATATAGTTAGAAAAAATAGCTTAAAGGGTTATATTGAACTTTTAACATCGAAACTTTGTCCTTTTAAAAAAATCTTCCCAGGGTGCCTGGGTGGCTCAGTGAGTTAAGCCTCTGTCTTCGGCTCAGGTCATGATCTCAGGGTCCTGGTATCAAGCCCCACATGGGGCTCTCTGCTCAGCAGGGAGCCTGTTTCCTCCTTCCTCTCTCTCTGCCTGCCTCTCTGCCTACTTGTGATCTCTCTCTCTGTCAAATAAATAAATAAAATCTTAAAAAAAAATCTTCTGTAATACCAGTGTGTCCATTTTCCCATTCCTTAGTTTTTGCTGACTTCACTTCCCTTTATTTTTCCCAAGCTTAAGCACTACTATACTATATGCTTTATCTTTTATATGTAGAATGTAATCTAAAGATAACAGTTACTACTAATATAATGATGTTAGCCTATATTTGCCTTCTGTCTTATGTGTTTCAAAATGTAATAACTCTGAAGCAGGGGATATTAACCTGTTGAGTGGAGGAATATAAGACTCAAAGAGAATTAAGTAATCTCCAGCAAGCAGCGAGATCACCTGGAGACTGCACTTTCTGGCTCCATATCCAGTACTGTTTCCTTTTCTGTTGTGTAAAGGTCATGGTCCACTGTAAAGGAAGAGCTGTCTTGAACTTCCAAGGTTTTTAGGTTATCAAATGGGAATTCTAAATTAGATGAAAATTAATGTGATACTGGAAGAGAATTAACAGTATCCCTCTTCAGAGTTATACTAACTACACATGATCCTTTGTGTTAGGTTTATAGATCCTTCCTGGGTCTTTGGTACAAGTCCAAGCATAACAAGATAAGATATCTTCTGTGGCCATGCTCAGGTAAAGACAGGATTCCTCTCGTATGAGGTAAAGCCCTTCCTTCCCACCCAGCAACATGTACCCAATTTAAACCATCTTTCTATTGTGATGCTAGTTTTAAAAGGAAGAGGAAAGGACACATACCATAATTCATAAAATTTAAATTCAAACTTTATTACAAAGACAATAAAAAAAGGAAGTATTTCCCAAAATGAGGAGCAAAGTGCAACCCCTCCCCAACCCAAAATCATCCCATCAAAGGAACAAAGAACTTCACGTTTCAAAAATTTTACTATTCTGCTAACCAGATGTGGACTGCATCCAACCGTATAGAACAGAGAGAGAAAGAATCTTTTACATACAGATGACATGATTTTATTATGGGAATTCAGAATATCCTTAGTAAGTTGTTGACCCTGAATGGTTAAATACAGTCAGAAAGGGTACAGCATTGAGTGTAGTTAATCATATTATATCACATATTTGAAAGTTGCTAGGAGAGTAGGTCTTAAAAGTTCTCATCACAAGGAAAAAAAGGTTCTCTATGAATGGTGATGGATGT